ATGGGTTCCCTTATTAGATATCTCATTTGCAAAGAATTTCTCCAATTCTGTGGGTTGTCTTTTCACTTTCTTGATGGTGTTCGTTAAAGCACAAAAGTTTTAAATTTGGTGAAGTTCGATTTACTATTTTTTCTTTCGTCATTTGTGCTTTTGGCATCACATCTAAGAAGATTTTGCCTGACCAAGGTCATGAAGATTTACTCCTTTGTTTTCTTCTAAGAGCTTTAGAGTTTAACTCTTACATTTAAGTCTATGATTAATTTGTGTGTGTGTGTTGTATGGAAACGATCCAACTTCATTGTTTTACATGTAGATATGTAGTTGTCCCAGCACCATTTGCTCAAAAGTTCTTCTGAGTTTCCCCTTTATTTAAAGTCTTATTCCAACCTGTCACCAAATTTTGCTCTTTTTCCCCTTTAAAATGGTGAGTCATCCTTTCACTACTACCACCAGTTTCCAGTCAAAACTTTCACCATCTCACATCTAGAAAACTGCATTTGCATCTATCCTTCCAGACTCTCTGCAAGCCAACCCTCCTAGGGAAGAAGCTTTCAGAAATGGAATTGAACTCACATTATTTACCTGCTCAAGAGTTCCTACAATAATGTATACGGCACAGGGGCAAACTCCTTGTTCTGACTTCACCATGTCCACACCAACAAATCAAAGGCCCAAAACTTCCTCTTGTTCAACTTCTCACTGAAGGAGGATTCTCTTTCTTCTGCCATCCCTTTCCCCTTCACCCTCTTCCTTTCTTTGCAATAAAATTAAAATTTAGTTAAAATTCTGTAGGTTCTTAAAGTCTCCTTCAAACCCCAGCTCCTTGATGAGGGGCTCACCTATCCTCTCTGACTTCCTCCTACATGTGTGCTCTGTGGCACCAGTCATTATGCAGATGATATTGGTATACACAATTCCACTCTACCATCCAACATCAGCAAGCATTTATTGAGCACCTACTGAAGTTCACAGCACTGTGCAGACAGGCCATGTATCGTGCAAATGCTGTTTCCTCCTGCCATCAAATGAGGGAGTAGAATCGGATGAGATTTTTAAAAATTCCTCCTAGTTCTACAACCAGTATTGTATACTGATCCAATCTGGAAGTTTAAACTTAAAATTAATTCAAGGATTCCAGTTAAGGAAATGGTCCCATTTCCGTGGAAACTAAAGTAGCTCGGTCACCAGGCTAGGTTACCAGCATTATGATTGCTTGTGACTGACTACTCCACCGTATTAATGATAAAGTGTCCCCGACTTGAGATGCTGGTGTTAGGGCACCTGTGATTTGATCTTCAGCTTAATCTGGGAGACCACCCCAAATCCTCAAAGTTAACTTAGAGTATCAGATTGCCATCCCTCCCCCGACCACCATAAAAAAAAAAATCTTTCAGATTGAAGAGGCAAAGTTTGATCCTTTCCTTGTTGAGAGATGAGAACAATAGCAGCTTTCCGCTCTAGCACAACTTCAAAAGGCTGCCGAGTAACTGCTCTGAGAATTCTTGGTTGTAGATGACTGAAGAAATGCATGGGCAGCCTCCAGCAATTCAGTGCCGCATTAGCACGGGGAAAATTCTGACCCCATCCTCCCAGAACCTTTAGTATAGCAAGGATTTAACTAGACAGATTCGGGCAATTGCAAAATTGAGCCTCCTTGGCAAAGAGGAGCAAGATCCAGCTGGTTAAGCAATGCCTTACTGTGAAAGGCCAAAGAATTAAGAATGTGTTGAAATTATCTAAATAATATCTAGATTTTTAGAAAATCAACTGGAGAGGGGTGACTATCTGATTGGATTTATACCAGAGGCGTGCATCCCTACTTGCTTCAAGAAAATGCCCGAGGCGAGGTACCAAGCTTGGGCTCGAAGTAGCAACCCGAGTTAATCCCAGAGCGCTCAGAGCTGGTCCGTCCCCTGCGCGTGTCGCTGCGGGTTCACCCACCCGCCTCTTCCTCTCGCAGGTGGCGTGCAGTCGGCGCTCGCTGCCCGCCCGCAAAGAAACTGCAATGCAAACTTCCCAGCCTCGGAACCCCACTGCTTGGAGAGCAGCTCTGCGGTGCCAGCCGCCTCCAGGAGACTGGTATTCAACCTCCCCGCCCCCCGCCACGGTTAAAGTTTGCTCCACATTCGCAGCTCCCACCCCACCCCCATCTCCGCCCCGAGGCAGGAGGACCGCAGAGGAGTTCTTGGGTCCACTGTGCGCAAACACACCCACCAACAAAAGAAAGCCCATTAAATCTTCCCTCCTGTGAACTCGCGCCCCAGCGGATACCTCTTTGAACTGACCCCCGCCCCCGCAGCCCCCGCGCTGTCTGGGGCGAGCCTGGCCCTCCCGGGCTTGCTCCCTCCCTCCCGGCTGCGCACTTTTGCTGCGCGCTCGGTCTTTGATGTCTCTTTACATTATGGCAGAGCAGCCACACGCTCTTCCCGGGCGCGGGGCTTTGTGTAATGGAACTGACATTTGGCCTTGATACCTGTATCTCTTGGTGATTGCAACAAATTTCTAAAATAAATACTGTACTTTGATCTCTCAGCATTGCATTTTTAATGGACGCTCTCAACATTACTTCATTAAGAACTTTTTTCAGGAGCTCCGAGGGCCAAGGGGGTTGGGGGAGGCTAAACTGCTATTCGGCAAAGTCTCCAAACTTCAGCTGCGGCCTGGGAGGACCGGAATCTGGGCGGGTTTTCACAAACGGAGATGAGGTCTAGAGCAGCCGACTGCGACCACTCAAGAGAGGTCCTACTGTGCGCTCAGCACAGTCCTAAAGACTTTGCATATATTAACTCTTAAACCTTCAGCCACTCTACTAGGGGCGCTATTGTAAGTCCCATTTTACAAATCGCAAACAGGTACACAGAGGCTGAGTACCTTGCTCGCCAAGGTCACCAACTAGCAAGTGGCAGGGCGGAAAAAACCTGTCTTCAGAGAGCTCAGACTCCGAGCTCTTAACCACCAAGCCACTATCTTTCACCCTATTGCCCATCATGGTGGTTTAATTGGCTAATTGGGGCATCTCAGAGAAAAAAGCTAATTCCTGTGACTATGGAGATGTAAAATGGCTCTTCTGGCCTTTTTGGTAAAGTAGCTATCAGATTCAACAAAAAGTGCTGCTTAGCCCGGCCCTGTCCGCCTCCCTGGGAAAGGGGGCTTCGAAGAGCTCAAAGGAGCAGGAGAGGAAACAAGCGCTAAGGTACCAGATCGCTTCGAGGGTGTGGGCATATGCCAGCGCGAGTGTGTGCCAAGGAGCTAGCCCTCGACTTGCATCCGGGAAAGGACTCCCTCGAGTTCCACCCTTCTCCAGGACTCGACCCCTGGACGGGAGCGTTGGAAGGAGCAGATCTGCCAGATCTCGGATGAAACCACTGAACTCTCTCCCCTTCTCAGCTCCCAGAATAGCCGACCTCATCTTCAGAAGCCAGATCGGGTCGGCCAAACTGTGGTCACCGATCTCGTTCTACAGGGGACAACTCGTTGGGGGACAAGGGGGCGTGCGAGTGCGGGATGTGCGAGGGACCCATTGTATTTGGGTCGCATGCAGCCCACCGGTCTTCAGTACGATGTTCCCATTCTGCAGGAGCGCCCTGGGCGTGCGAGAAGGTGGGTCTGGAGGCATCTCGTCCCGACCCCTGATGGAAGTGCGGAGGGCATCCTTATACAGCCCAGACTCCCGAGTCTGTTGGAGTTAGGCTAACCTCTGGCGCCGCATCGGGAGATGGGTCACCCAGTCCGTCCTCTTCCGTCAGTCGCCGTGCGGCTCCCGCGAGGAAGACGGGCAGAGAGGCTTGGAGCGAGCTGGTTCGGGACTCCCCCACGGCTGGTGGGCTGGAAAGTGGAGACCGTGTCCACCAGGAGACTGGTGAGGGAGAGGAGTAGGCCGAGCTCCGGCGGCCACTCCGCAGTGCGGTCTCGCAAGCCGGGGCCTCCAGGCCTCCATCACGGTTCACCGCTCCTAATGCCCCAGGGCGGTGAGAACCCGCGGCCCTCCATCCATCTCTTCCTCTTCCCCGCCCGCGCGCTCGTGGGAGGCAATCCCGGGGTCCGCAGCGCCAGGCAGGATGAACCCTGTGCCCTGAGCCAGGAGGAGGCAGGCGGCTGACAGTCCCTCCTCCTCAGGAGGTGAGCGGCCAAGGAGGGATGGGGGTCACCCAAGCCCCGGCAAGCGCGTCCCTGCCCAGGGCAAAGCACGCCCCGCACCTGGTGAGGAATTTTTTATTTCCAAAGGTGACAGGAACAAGTTTGTACTGACTTTTCTTTCCCCTTCGGGGGCCTCTCGTATGATTTGTGGTTTGTGGAACCACAACAACCAGGCTTCCTCGACCGCGCCTTACTTTTTTCCAGTAGTTCCTGGTCTGTCAGGCTTGCGAGAGCGCGTGCCGGCTTGGCGGAGCCCGGAGCGAGAAATCACCAGCAGCGCTGGGGCTTTCGGCGCCCCTGGCCCGGCCCAGAGCTCCTGGGCATCCAGGGTGGCCTGGGGAGAAGAGGGCGGGACAGCACAGCTTCTTCCCCTCGGGTGGGCTTGACGGGTCGCCTTGGGTGTCCTGCCAAGTTCAGCTTTGAGGGTATACGCGGCACGAGTGTTTTTCCCAGGTCCCCTCTTTGCAGAACTTGTGGCCTGCGGAAAACTTCCTGGTCACCAGCAGGAACGTCACACGAGAGCCCCTGTCGCTCATCAGGCGGGCGGCCCTGGAGCGTGCGCGCCACCCAACGCCGCGCTGGGCGGCCGCCCGGCCCCGCCCCGGGTCACAGCCTTGCCCCCGGCCCTACAGCGGTGGGCGGGGGGACACGCGGCAGGCCGGGCGCGATCGGTCCCACGCCCCACCGGAGAACTCGCTTGGGTCCGATGTGTGCGCTGGCGGGTGCGTGTGCGGCGAGGGTGCAGGGTGTGCAAATACAGGGGAAAGTTACACTCCTTCCCGTCTCAAAGTCCCGCGCCTGGAAGCCGAAGGCAGATTTTTCTAGAGATAACAAAGACACTTTGTCACTTTGGGCGCTGCCTTGGTGCAAATCTTTAAATTGCAAGTGTGTGTGTTGCGGGGGGTGGGGGGCGGGAAGAGTGTCTCGAGCAACCCAAGCGCGGGTCTCCAGGCGGCAAGGCCCCCTTTGATCAGGAAAATCCAATTATTTGTGTATATACATTTCCCACATAGTGATTACTTCATTAATTGTCCCGCCTTTATCTCCTCCCTTCCCATCCCCCCTAATAATCAGTTCTTTTATCCAGACCAACAAACACACCATAGGAGCTTTGTGGATTCAAAGGATTTGCTTTCGCTTCTGAAAGAGCCGCTATTCTTTGATGATTGGGTAGCGGCAAACTTCAAAGCCATAAATCTTCCCTCTGACTGGCTGGCGGCCCAGCAAAGTCCTTATCAAATTCTTGGAGGTGATCCTGAAGCGCTCAGACCGCGCGCGGGGCGAGCGAGCGGGGCGCTGCGAGGGGCGAGGGTGGGGAGGGCCCCAGCGCGCAGAGCGGGCTCTGGGGAGGCAGGCTGGGCGGCCGTTCGTCCTCGCCTTCGGGTGTCGATGCCTCCGCGGCAGCGCCTCGCTCCACAGCCAGCGGCCTGGAAGCCGTAGCCATGGCCGCGGTGGCCGTCCTCCGGAACGACTCGCTGCAGGCCTTTCTCCAGGTCAGGGCTGGGCCCGGAGGGGGCGGGAGAAAGGTGGAAGGGGCCCTGTCTGGTTCTCCCCCGGTACTCCGTGCAGCTTGAAATCTCAAAGGGAACCCCGCCGGTGGGTGCAGCTGGAGCCAGGCCTAGGGGTGCCCACGCCAACTTCACACCTAATCTGGTGTCAAGAGTGTGGCCTTTGCAGGAGGGACGCATGGATCCGGGATTGTTCGGAGGTACCCGGCTGGCTGAGAACACGACCGGAGCTCGCCCTGCTGGGCCCTCCTGCTGATTTCATCCTGGGGCGGGCGGGGGAGGAGCGCGAGGACTGGAGAGCTTAAAAGATGGGAGGGAGGGCGGCTGGGAGGCCGGGTTGTGGGTGTTTCCCGACTCTAACTGACCTCGTAGCCCGGAGTGGCCTGTCGGATGCCTCCCCCTCCCACTTTGCGCCTGCTTCCTCTAAGGCTGGATGGCGTCTCAGTGCACCAAGTAGTTTAGAAAGAAGCGCTCTCGTGCCCCACGTTCAGGTAGCGCAGGCTCCAAAAGTTTCCTGCGGCCGGTGGGTGCGTGTGTGGGGTGCGGTGGCGGGGGAGGGACTGCCGCGGCGGAGGAGGGACAGTAGTATAATAGCGGGCGCGGGGGCGGCGGGCAGGCCGGGAGTCGGCCCTTGGAGCTAACCTTTTGTCTCTTCTCTGCCCTCCCTCTCTGCGTATGCAGGACCGCACCCCCAGCGCCTCCCCGGACCTGGGCAAGCACTCGCCCCTGGCACTGCTGGCCGCCACCTGTAGCCGCATTGGCCAGCCGGGCGCGGCGGCGCCCCCGGACTTCCTGCAAGTGCCCTACGACCCCGCGCTGGGCTCCCCTTCCAGGCTCTTTCACCCGTGGACCGCCGACATGCCGGCGCACTCGCCGGGCGCGCTACCACCCCCGCACCCCAGCCTGGGGCTGACGCCGCAGAAGACTCACCTGCAGCCGTCCTTCGGGGCTGCGCATGAGCTTCCGCTCACGCCCCCCGCCGACCCCTCCTACCCCTACGAGTTCTCGCCGGTCAAGATGCTGCCCTCGAGCATGGCGGCTCTGCCAGCCAGCTGTGCGCCCGCCTACGTGCCCTACGCCGCGCAGGCCGCGCTGCCACCCGGCTACTCCAACCTGCTGCCCCCTCCGCCGCCGCCCCCCCCGCCGCCCACCTGCCGCCAGTTGTCACCCAATCCGGCCCCCGACGACCTCCCGTGGTGGAGCATCCCGCAGGCAGGCGCCGGGCCGGGGGCCTCCGGGGTTCCGGGAAGCGGCCTCTCCGGCACCTGTGCCGGGGCCCCCCACGCGCCCCGTTTCCCCGCCTCTGCGGCCGCTGCTGCTGCAGCCGCCGCCGCCCTGCAAAGAGGCCTCGTGTTGGGCCCGTCGGACTTTGCGCAGTACCAGAGCCAGATCGCCGCGCTGCTGCAGACCAAGGCCCCCCTGGCGGCCACGGCCAGGAGGTGCCGCCGCTGCCGCTGCCCCAACTGCCAGGCGGCGGGCGGCGCCCCTGAGGCGGAGCCGGGCAAGAAGAAGCAGCACGTGTGCCACGTGCCGGGCTGCGGCAAGGTGTACGGGAAGACGTCGCACCTGAAGGCGCACCTGCGCTGGCACACGGGCGAGCGGCCCTTCGTGTGCAACTGGCTCTTCTGCGGGAAGAGCTTCACGCGCTCGGACGAGCTGCAGCGGCACCTGCGGACTCACACGGGCGAGAAGCGCTTCGCCTGCCCCGAGTGCGGCAAACGTTTCATGCGCAGCGACCATCTAGCCAAGCACGTCAAGACTCACCAGAATAAGAAGCTCAAAGTTGCTGAGGCCGGGGTTAAGCGGGAGGACCCGCGGGACCTGTGAACCCTCCCCGAGGTGGATCCCCTTCCCAGCACCTCTGCGGGAGATCCGGGGATCTATGGGCAGCTGGCGGAAGGGAGACTCACCAAACGGACTCTCTCCGTTGCTTGCCGCCCAGAATGGAGCCAGGCCCCCAGCTTCCCCGGCCCTCGGACACGGGGACCCAGTTTCCAGGAGCCGGGAAGTAGGGTTGGGACCTGAAGCATTTGGGTCATGATTGGGAGTTCTGCCCTACGCTAGGGCGGTTCCAAACTCTAAACCGTTCCCACCGTCTGGGAGACCTACAGTTTTGGGGGACCACCCTGGGCTGGCCTTGTATATAGGAAACGCTGCTGAATTGAAGCGGAAGGAACTTGGGAGATTGGAAACAGTGCTCGGGTTTTCGCTAGGACTGGTTTGAGCTTTGTACAGGTTATTTAATAGCTTTGTTAAAAATAATTATAATAATTATAACAATAAAAATGTTACTTTTGTCTTCAGCTCCATGCGGAGCTACAGCATGATATGTCTCTGTAAAGTGATCAGCAGTTGCAGCGTGAAAATAAATACGTTAACTCAGGGGTCACTACAGGAAGACCCCACTGAGCTGGTCTCATTTGATCTTTTCTTCTGGGAGGCTGTACTAAGCGGTTGGGTTTCACCCGGAATTTGATGGTTCCTATAGTCTGCCTTTGTCGGAGGCTTCTTTGGTTTGGAAGGGTCTGGGCAAATGTGTTTGGTTCAGGAATGGAAGAAGGCAGGCAATTCGGTTTTGTGGCAAAGAGGAAGGGCAAGAGTTTTCCAGTCACAGCTTGAGTTTCTCATGCGGCCTTAGGACTTCACCTGAGACTGTTTCTCTGCCACGTTTGTTTTTACCTGGGGAATTCCTTGTGGCTTTCCATTTGTTGGTACTCTCGGGACAGGTCACAGCCGGCTATGCTGGTGTGAAGAGAGGTATTAGAGGTGCAAGGATCTGTTCACAGGTGAGACTTTGTGGAGAGGCACAGAGAAACTGGGGACCCTTGACCAGGTTGGTCTTTGCCTGGGAAAGAACCAAGAAGATAGCTTTCCAGGCGTCACTCCTGTATTTCAGTCCCATCAAGATACCCAGTGTTGTCTTGCGTGTTTTCTTCTTAATCTTGCTGTGGAAATCTTAACAAGTCTTACTTCACAGTAATCACCCAGGGATTTCTGGTTAGGCCAGGACGTTTAGTTCTATTTTGTATCTTTGAATTTTATTATGTTTTTAATCATTGAAGTAGTCCAAGATTTTTCTCAGGGAAGAGCCAGGAATACTCATAGTTTGGAAATGTGGAAATAGGGTATTTTTTGTCTAGGTGTCTCGCCTTTCTCTAAAAGTTGAAGTTTTGAAGTTTACAAATGTTTTGTGTCTAAACTTAACTCCTTGATGTTTTATAATATTTGAGTTTTTAAACCTGTAACTGAACCTTTAATCAGCAGTTAAATCTTCTGTTTTAAGATTAGTAAAGAACAGAAAATGTTCTAAATTTTATTAACATGTTAAGCTAGAATCATTAATGCCAAATTTTGATAGAGCCAAATAATCTTTTCATTAAAGAAGTTACACAAATTGATAGGATTTTGCAGTTTACAAACTGCTTTTACCTTGTCTTTCCTTTGAAGTCAGACTGAAGGATCAGTTTTTAAAAGCTTTAAGGGTTGTTCTTGAATCTTATATTAAGTAAAACACAAACATCAACATAATTGAGATAAGAATTACTTTTATATTCCTAAGAGATAGCATTTTTATTCTGGAACTTGGGACAAGGTAGTAAATGAATATTAGATTCATGGTGGCAATATGCCTTAGAATAAGAGATATTGGAACTATTTAATGACAAATTAGAATGTGAGTCTTCATGGTTCTTTACCCAGGAAGAGAAGTTTGGGTTAAATTTTCAAGAGTTTGGCAGTTTTCCAAGCAATAGTGATAAAGATGCTAGGCAGTAACATTAATATACACCTAAATATGTAATCTTAATCAAAATCATTGGATCTAAATCATTAGATTAAGACTACACATTTTGATGTATAAATCAATGAAAAAAAGTTATAGAAACTCACCTTTCCATGAAAAGTTACAGAAATTCACATCTGAACCATGCCCTGGGATCGACTATAGATTCAGAAAAGGATGTTTGGAAAGTGGTGGGAAAGAGGAATCCTTGTTAGAGAGTGAAAAAACCAAAGGCTCTGGACTCAAAATTTGAAATGATTCTTTCATCTGAAAGAATGATCTTAGTAGAGAAAGAAAAATGGCAATTTCAAAATGAGTCTACTAGCTATAATTGACAAATCCAATCATTTATTTAGAGATGTTAAGGTAAAGTTTTCTTATAACTTTTTGATTGTTAAGAGAAAAAGTAGATAAAATATATGGAATTTAATATCTAAACAAATGAGATGTTGGAAATAGATAACTTTGTAGTTATTAAGAGAAAAACTAGATTAAACTATATGGAATTTACTAAAATATATCTACTAAATTTACTAAAAATATATGCATAATTTTTTTAAACAGAACAAAGTAATATGACAGAGTAAGTTATGGTTTTACTTAATTGCACCTGCAAATTGAAAAAGTATGGTGTTTAACTTAGTACAACTGAAAAGCTTGTTCATTGTACCACTGCAAATCTGATAGAATTTGCAATATTTCCAAAGTAGGCAACATTTAAAAAGTAAGTTTAATCCACCACCTTCCTTCAAGCTTTCACTTAAAGATCCCAGCACACAATTCAATTAAGTTTAGATAACTAATTAAAGAAAATATGTTAATGATTGCCTCAAATGTCAGTAGACATTATAAATTTTAAAGCAACTGTTTTGTCAGTATGCAAATATAATGTAAAGTTATGTGTGTGTGTGTGTGTGTGTATATATATATATATATATATTTTTTTTTTTTTTTTAGACAAAGTCTTACTCTTTCACTAAGCTGGAGTGACGAGGCACAATCTTGGCTCACTGCAAGCGATTATCCTGCCTCAGCCTCCCGAGTAGCTGGGATTACAGACATGCACCTCAATACCCAGCTAACTCTTATATTTTTAGTAGAGATGGGGTTCACCATGTTGGCCAGGATAGTCTTGATCTCCTGACCTTGTGGTCTGCCTGCGTTGGCCTTCAAAGTGCTGGAATTACAGGCATGAGCCACCATGCCCGGCCTGAGTGTTATATTTTTAAAAATACGAAAATCCATGTGATGTTATTTTAATTTTAAGTTTTTGAACCGTTTTGAGCAAGAACTTTGAAACATGGAGAAATCACATTATCAGTTAATTAATTAATTTGGAATTGTGTCTTTCTGAACTTGCTAACACTGTAGTTTTCTGCGTTTCTCAAGAAAAAGTTGTGCAAATATACTCTTCACTGATCACTAGTTTAAATAGTACTGGTAATGAATGAAAGTAAATTATGTTAAAGAAAATACAACTATAATCTCCATGTTATTTTCTAGTTTCAACTAGTGCTTAAATCTTCTGACTATATTGTATATTCTTTTAAACTAGTTTACTGTAGTCAAGCAAGATATGCTGATTAAAAAATTAATCTTGCCAAGCATGCCTCTTGCCGAAACCTATGTTTGCCGAAACAAATGACAGTGACATTTGTAGAAAAGTCAGTTTTTTACCCCAAGTTGTACTATTTTTTATTCTAATATTGTGGGGTTTTAAGTAATTAGTTTAAAGCAACTTCTTCAGTGTTTTCTATTTATTTCATTTCTGCTGTGACCATTTCACAGAATATTGTTATAGCTATGACTTCAAATTCACATAAACATCTAGTAAGTTGTTCAGGGCTCTAAAATTGCCACTTCTACTTGCATTAGCTCATCATATTAAATAATGACCAGTCAAGGTAAGTTGACCATTCTCACTGGGAAATGGTCTGTGTTATAGAATCAGATCCAAACCTTAAGCTTTGTGTTATAGTAAGTGTAAGTACAGTTTGCTAATGTCCCAAATTGAGGTCCACTCAAAACAAGTGATATTAATTTTCTATTAAATATTATGACCTTCTTCTGGTTTGCATAATAGAGGGAACTTTAAAAGAGTATGAGAACCAGGGCAGTTTTGAAATGTTCTGTGCCACCATAGTTCAATAGAGTAGGAAAAAATAAGGAAAATATCTAGATAGAGGTATGTTGGTAATGAGATACATGTTTAGATTAATACAACAAAATAACACGTTTCATTATTGGGCCACTATAATGGTAACCTGATTAGTGTGGCATGTAATCTATTTAATATAGACAGTAAATTTTTCTCTGATGTTCAGACTGAACACATTTTTGTATAAAGATCTTGATGTCAGTTGCTCCTTCCTTGATTGTTTTTAAGGAATCTGATATGTTGCCAGAGACAGCAGTGTTTCAGATTAATTTATGGACATTGTAGAATAACGTACTTAATGTTTCTTACTGTAATAAACTAATGGTATTTGTTCAACAACGATGTAATCAAACAGCTATAGATTGAGAGTTTCATAATTGTTTTACTATTACAACTTCTTAATACCAGTTGAAGATTTGTACATGATGACTGATATAGTTTCATGCTGACATTTTGATGACTTCCCTTTCTAGACTTTACGTACTTTTCTTTCTGTGTCTTTAGAAATTATCTAAAATATAACCCTCCACTGGATATTTGAGACTTAATTCATAATTCAGTCCTTGCATATGAACTATAGTACTACCTGCACAACACATAATAAACCACATGAACTAATACATTTTGGTTATCTACCTAATACCAACATTTAATTCAGGGTAAATAAACCTAGCTATTGGTTTGATACCACCTGGAAAATCTGCAACTTTTACTTTTTAAAAAGTTGTTTCAGCATTATCAAGATTCATTATGCCTATTATGAAATGGAAGTTCATTTTACAGTAAAACTATTCATCTAATATTTTCATTACTTATCAAAATTCTGACATCAAAACACACTAAAATTTTCTAAAGTCTAAGGCAGTATCTTGAGGTCATCTGATTTTTTTAATATATAGTTAAACTGTTCAGTCATATATGGGTGCTTTCTAATCATTTTATGTTTAGCATAATCTAAAACACAGATGGAAAACATCTGGCCCTCAGCTTAATTTTACCCAATTCATGAGGCAGATATCAAGGCTAACTCATTTATGCTTATGGTTGGGAAAATGTGTCCTAATTTTAAAAATATTTGGTGGCAATTTCCTGAAAGTCTACACCACATACCATGAAAGCTCATTTCCCTTATTTCTATGTGAATTTTATTCTCACAAATTCTGTCTTGCTTTCTTTTCCATTCTGACTTGTGGATGTTACATGTCTTCTGTATATCGATGTCCATCTCTAGCATGGAAGCTTTCATTTTTTGTGTCATGTGTCTCTTGCTTTTCTGAAAGTATTTATATCCATGATTTGATTTTGTTCCCGATAATGCAGAACTCAACAGGATTCTAAAATGTATTTTAAATCTATTGGGTTTTTTTTGTTTTGTTTTTGTTTGTTTATTGAGACAGAGTCTCACTCTGTCACCCAGGCTGGAGTGTAGTGGCGTGATCTTGGCTCACTGCAACCTCGGCCTCCAGGGTTCAAGCAATTCTCCTGCCTCAGCATCCCAAGTAGCTGGGGTTACAGGTGCCCACCACAACACCCAGCTAATTTTCAAATTTTAGTAGAGACATGGTATAACCACACTGGTCAGGCTGGTCTCAAACTCCTGGCCTTAGATGATCCACCTGCCTTGGCCTCCCAAACAGCTGGGATTACAGGCATGAACCACCACTCCTGGCTGTATTTTTTAGTAGATATTTGTATTCTTTGGTCTAAATTTTACATGTGAGTGAATTAAATTTATAGTCCTATTTGTAGATTCAATTCATATTTTATTTATGTAGTACATGGCTGATGTTTCCTGTGAATTTGTGAACATCAGTGGGAAAAATACATAGCAATTTAAAGTAAAATTATAAAATATAGTAGAAAATTATGGTTTGAGGTAATAACCAGTTTGGATAGACTTTAGTAAGTAAAAAATATATGAATGAAGTATATTTATATACCTAAGTGGTTAAACATAGCCCTTTATTTTTTTAGCTAAAATTTAAATGAGGGGAATGTGAACTAAGACCTGTAAGCACATAGCTATGTATATTTCTCCTTGTGGTTATTATCTTCAATGAAGATTTGTTTTTCTTTTAAGCATTTTTCTCCCGTTTGATCCTTGAAGTCCATTGCATCTCTTGATAACACTGCAGACAACTGCCAAGAAAGTCATTGTGGTAAGAAATTCTGTAGCAAGCCTGGATTTGAAGTAGGAAGTTGCGAAGTTGTTTTCTAGGGAGAAAGCATTTCCTTCATCAGTCGTGATTCAGACCTGTCAATAGCAAGCCTGTGTGCCGTGAACAGCCAGCTCCTGGAGGCTGTGGGGCTGTGGCTGCCCCGTTGCTTCTGGAGCAGGGAGATTTGGAAGTAAGGAAAGGGGAAACAAATCATGGGGAATAACAGATGTGGGACTATCCTATCTAAATAGGATATGGAAAGGGGTTGAAATAGGGTCATTGGGTAGAAGTAAAAAGGCAAGGTTGGAGCAACTTCTCAAACTTGAAATGGACCCCACAGAGGAAGATGTTTTCCTCACCCCAAGGTTTTGGAATTTTGTGTTTTGGGTTTTGGGTTTTTTTTTGACTAAAGTTGAGTATGAGTAGGCTCTAGAGGAGTTGTGGTGGACTTCAAGACCTTTGGACTGGGATTATCCTTATGGTCTCTTCCAAAGCTGAAATGCCTCAAATCTAATACCTATAAGCCAAAAAGTCTGAATAAATCTTATTATAGCTGGGCACAGTGGTGCATGCCTATAATCTCAGCTACTTGGGAGGCTGAGGCAGGAGAATCACTTGATCCCAGGAAGCAGAGGTTGCAGTGAACGAAGACCACACCACTGCACTCCAGCCTGGGTGGCAGACTGAGATATTGTCTCAAAAAAAAAAAAAAGAATATGTGAGCTGCATACTTAACTTGATATTTGTTATTTATAATTATTACATGTAGGAAACTAGGCACAAAACATGTATATATAACCAAATTCAATTTACCAAACAATGATTTGAAGTCTAAGTCTACAAGATGTAAGTTACAATGAGAATTTAAAGATGAACACAGTCCTTCAAAGAGCTCACAATCACAAAGGAGATAAAACAAAGGCCCAAATGAATGTAATACAAGGCCTCACACCTGCCAAAAGTGACCAACAAAACTCCCCTAAAAACACAAAGGAAAGAGAAATTACTTCAGGTAATAACAATGATAAACTGTTTGATTCCACAAATGGATATTCTGCTTTGAAAAAGAACAATCTCCAAACTGCATCTGTGGCATTCAGAATCCAATTAGATTTTTATCCAGAGCTGTTAATTCAAGACAATGTGGTCCCAGACCTGCAGCATCAGCATCACTTGGGATCACTGGTTAGAAATGCAGATTCTGGGATCCAACCGCCAGACTTACTAAATCAGAAACTCTGGGAACGGCCTGGCAATCTGTGTTTTAACAAGCCATCCAGGTGATTCTAATGCACAATGATGTTCAAGAACCACTGGTTTAGGAAGTTGCATATTTTAACCATGTGTAAGATGGAAAATATATACGCAAATTCTAGCCTAAGACATTTCTCACAAGTTACTCTGGGGAAATAGAAAATGCATGGACTGGCTGGGCATGGTGGCTCACGGCTGTAATCCCAGCACTTTGGGAGGCAGAGGCAGGTAGATCACCTGAGGTCAGGAATTTGAGACCAGACTGGCCAACATGGTGAAACCCCACCTCTAATAAAATACAAAAATTAGCTGGGCACGGTGGCAAAGCGCCTGTAATCCCAGCTACTCAGGAAGCCGAGACAGGAGAATGGCTTGAATCCAGGAGGCAGAGGTTGCAATGAGCCGACAGAGTAAGATCCGTCTCAAAAAAAAAAAAAAGGAAAAGAACGTGGATAGACCATTTGGCTGAAATTCTCACCCAGTTGAGAATACAGCAATAGTCTTAATGAAATATTGATCCTTACATGCATGTTAGGTAATTATGTAAACAATTGTCCTTTTATAATATGTAATACCAATAGAGTATTTACATTTTTGAATTATAAGTCACATATTTTATATGTTAGTGGAATTTTCCCCATTAAGTTGAACAGTGACTTTAGCAATATCTGTTTTCCTAAAGGGAATAGTCAGCTAACTAAGCAGTAGTGTCATTGGATAATGAATAACCAAACGTCATGAGACACATATAAACTCCACCACTAAGGGTGAAAAACACGTACATATTCTGTGCTGCAGAAATGCAATGATGGCTCTTCTAAAAGATAAGCATAGTCACCACCAGCCTCTGTTTTGCTACAATAGCTTTTTTTTTTTTTTTTTGAAATGGAGTCTTGCTCTGTTGCCCAGGCTGAAGTGCAGTGCGCAATCTTGGCTCACTGCAACTTCCACCTCCCAGGTTCAAGTGATTCTCCTGCCTCAGCCTCCCAAGTAGCTAGGACTATAAGCGCATGCCACCATGCCCGGCTATTTTCGTATTTTTAGTAGAGATAGGATTTCACCATATTGGTCTGGCTGGTCTTGAACTCCTGTCTTCATGATCCACCTGCCTTGGCCTCCCAAAGTGCTGGGATTATAGGCATGAGCCACTGTGCCCAGCCTACCATAGCTTCTTAGAACTACCCACAGGGAAGTGTAGGAGCCTGGAGCTTCTCTGCAGTAAACATAAAAACTTTGTGGATATTTATCTAAACCAAGAATGTTCACTTTCCTCTGTTCTAGCCCAATCCTCATTGGTCCACCTTTCTTCTCCTCCACAAAGTCTTGATCAAAGTACATTTCAGGGCTGTTTCCAAGACCAGAACATGATTTAGTAAAATTTTTTGGCAGTTGATTTCTGACCTTTGGAATTATAGAAGGCTGCTGGGAATTACCAGTAATAGGGAAGCCTATAACATGAATGAAAATACCTCCATGATTTTTTTTCAGGGAACGGGCCCCTCACTCTGCCCCCAAGTCCAAACTATCCAATCATCATTGTTTGATGTACTTTAGGAGGCCCCCTAGTGAATGATAAGAAGCTAGGATGATGCTGATTGTAGCATATTGCTAAGGAGTCCCCAAATCCCTGAGAGATCAAGGGAGCTCTCTAAGATGAGATAAATCTCTCCAGCCACAACTTACAGAATTTAGCATGTTGGGGTTGGAAGAGACTTAAAAATCACTGACTCTGAGGTGGGGTGTAGTGGCTCATGCCTCTAATCCTAGCACTTTGGGAGGCTGACGCGGGCAAATCACCTGAGGTCAGGAGTTCAAGACAAGTCATAGCCAATATAGTGAAACCGCATCTCTACTAAAAATACAAAAATTAGCTGGGCATGGTGGCAGGTACCAGTGATCCCAATTACTCGGGAAGCAGGAGAGTTGCTTGAACCAGAAAGCAGAGGTTGCAGTGAGCTGATATAGCGCCACTGCACTCCAGCCTGGGCAGCAGAGGGAGACTCCATCTCAAAAAAAAAAAAAAAAACCACCAACTCTGACCCTCTCATTTAACAGAAGAGAAAACAGCATGCCAGATTCAGTGAAACCATCATTATCCATGATGCATTAACAAATAAGCACACTCAATAGCAATCCCGCAGCCTAGCAAAGGGAGAGATAGATGGTTGAGGAGCACAGAGACTGAGAGAAGACTCAAGGAAGAAATATAGAGAGAAGCTTTGGTCTGAAGTTGCCAAAGGACTACGAATGGTGGCTCTCAGCTTTTTACATGTGTGAAAATTACCGAGGTTGCTTATTTAAATGGAGGATCCTGAGCTACATCCCTAGAACTGCTGATTTGTTTGGTCCAGGGGTGAGGAAGCTGGTTTCATTATAACCATCACCCCAGTGACTCTACGACAGGTGGTTGGAAGATCACCATTAGAGAAAGCTTCCTTACAAGAGAAAACATAGTGAATGGTGTAACATCCACACATTTTGACAATGGCAAATGCTCAGGTAATAAATCCTATCTAATTTTCCTTTTTTAAAAAGTTGACAGTTGATTGCTGAGGTCTGACACAATATATTTCATGATCTTGAAGAGGAGAAGTGACTTAGAAGCTTTATCTTATTTACCTGGGTCTGTGTCAAATGCATAGTAAATGTTATCATCCTTTTCCTGTCAAAATATAAGAATAAAGACACTAAATGGTCCCTTGGATTTTCTAAATTCCCAACTAAAATTAATTAAATTCTGAACTGAAGTCACAAAAATTGAGTTAAATATATATGTTCTAGATATTTTATTCTGGGCTTATATCTTTCTGTGACAGTTCAGAATCAAAGAGTCATTAAGGTTTATAACCAAAATGATCTCAGAGTTCACCAAATCAAATCTCCTCATTGTATAGATGAACCAGCCAATACTCATCAGGGTCCAGCCCTAATAGAGTTTACATTCTAGTAAAGTCACCATGTTGTAAAATCTTACTCCCTCCTCTGATGTGTCTTCCCCCTTTATCATTCCATTCACTTTCAGATTCATATATTCCACAAATATTTATAAATGTTTACAGATAGCACAGATGAACATCTGTCATGAAAAAGTCATACAAGATTCTTGCCTTCATGGAGCCTGCAGTCCAGTAAGGAATATAGAAAGTTGGCAGAGTATCCAGGGACACCAGGAGAGGAGAGGCTATTCACTACCACATACCAGAGCTTAATATAGTGCCTGGCAAAATACATACTCAGTAAGTATTTCGCTCTGAATATAAGGTACTACAAGTATGGTCAGTATAGTAAAGATGCCATAGTTTTAACTGGTATTGTTGCTTCCCATTAGTATCTATAAGAGGTGTGTTCAGATTATAGACCAGAATCCCTTTCTTCCTTGAGTTGTTTGAGTGGGGGCACGGTGGTGGTTCTAGGAAGCTGCTAACTGTCTCTCTCTACCTCTCCCAGAATCCTGGGTCTGATGGCTTCTCTGAGGCAATCTCAACTTCCCAATATCTAACAGTCATTCCTTTGCACTTCCCAAGTCTCATTACTCCAGCTTTTAAAGACATTCCTGGCCAGACACAGTGGCTCACACCTATAATCTGAGCACTTTGGGAGGCCAAGGCAGATGGATCACCTGAGGTCAAGAGTTCAAGACCAGCCTGACCAACATGAAGAAACTCCGTCTCTACTAAAAATACAAAATTAACTGGGCATGGTGGCACATGCCTGTAATCCCAGCTACTCGGTAGGCTGAGGCAGGAGAATCACTTTAACCCAGGAGGCGGAGGTTTCAGTGAGTCAAGATCGTGCCACTGCCACTCCAGTCTGGGCAACAGGAGCGAAACTCAGTCTCAAAAAAAAAAAAAAAGCAAAAACCACAAGGCAGGAGGTGGAAGAAGTAACAGTTGAAGAGAGAAGGAGTGTCTCAGATCGCTAAGAGGTGGTAGTGGTGTGGGTGTGTGTTGTGTGGAGGACTGATGGCTCTGGAGATATGGAAGGGTCATGCCTCAGAAGGAACAGGTACGGTGCTCCTAAAACAGACCTAGAACAGCAGTCTTAACAAAGACCCCTATGTGTTAGTTATTTTTTGTTGCAACAAATTACCAGCAACTTAGAGGCTTCAAACAATATACATTTATTAGCTCACAGGTGCTGTGCATCAGAAGTCCAGGCACAGCTTAATTGTATCATCTGCTTCAGGGTCTTTCATAAGGCTACAGTGAAGGTGTCAACCAAGGTTGGGGTCTAATCTGAAGGCTCAATTGGTAAGGGATCCACTTCCAAACTCAAGTGGTTATTGGTAGGATTCAGTTCTTTGTGGACTGTTGGACTGAGGACCTCAGTTCTTTGCTAGCTACTGCCTAGAGACTGACTTTAGTTTCTTGCCATATGGGCCTCTCCAGCATGGCTGCTTCATCAAAGCTTGCAAGCTGCAAAGGCAATAAAGTCTGCTAGGATGATGGTGGTACATCTTTAATAACGTAATCACAGAAGTGGCAGCCTATCAACATTCTATTCACTTGAAGGAAGCCATTCAAGAAAAAGGGATTACACAAGGGCTTTAGTACCAGCAGACAGGAATCAGTTGGGGCCATTTTAGAAGCCACCTATCACATCCTGTGATGCACATTGTCAGTAATATGGAGTTACATGTATAGGCCATAAAGACTTGGACCAAGAGTTTCTCAGCATCAGCCATGATGCTTTCCTACTGATGAGAGACTGCCAATCCCCACCCATTCATACTCTCTTTCTTCCTTTTGGTAATAGTAACCCCCAAGTTTTGGGGAGGTATGTGGCTATCCATCTAGAGATAACATATCCCAGCCTCACTGTCGACTAGGTGTGGCCATATGACTGAGTTCCCACCACTGGCATGTGAGCCTAAGTAAAGTATGTCACTTCTAGTTCACAACCTTAATAGAAAGTTGGATGCTTTCCCTTTCTTCTTTCTTGAGGCTGAAATGCAGACATGATGGTAAGCATTCAACTCAATCATGTGATTAGGACAACACCCCGGAAGATGGAAGAGCAACAAAACAGAAAGAATAAGGGTCCTCAGACCATCACATGAAGCAGAACAGCCTACTTTTTCTGGGCTGCCTCACCAGCTGGACTTTTATTTCAAAGACAAACAGACCATCTTGTTTAAGCCATTGTTACTTGGTGCCTGTTACAGTAACTAAACAAATATCCTAAATGATAGATCACAAAATGCTTCATAAGGCAGTTATTAACAGTACTCTTGGTTAGTCTTCCTAGGAAAGCTATGAATTACATCCCTTTAAAAGAGTACCTGAGAAAGCAAGCCCAGGTGATATCCTTTTAAGCTCCTCTTAGGCTGTGTTTGCTGGTGTCCTCAAAATGAGTTCTCACTCCCTCAAGGGTGTCTTCTCAGGATGCTGCTATGGAAGACTCCATCACTGTTTTCCAGCTTTGCCCATACTAAGGTACCCAGAGGACTTCACTCATTCGATTCTTCATTCGTTTCACTATTTTAGGGACTCTTCTCATAAGGCAGTCACTGTGTCAGGCACTAGGGAAACAGCAGACAACAGAACAGAACCAAGCTTTACACTATCAGGAAGCTGATATTCTAGTAAGGCAGGAAAGCTGCAAAGATGTGTTAAACACGTGTTGATTGAATGAGCCAAATGTTAACATTTTTATGAGAGGTAGAAGGATAAAGCAACCCTTTTATTGTCTACTTCTTGTGTTTTGTACTTAACACATAGTTAAGTACAGCACATCTTTAACACATCTTATTTTCTTGAAATAAGATAATTTCAGGGAATTATACAACAAAACAACAACTTGACATTTGTCTTCATGTGCCCTGTAAATTACACAGGAAAACTGAGGCTATCACATTGCTGAATATCTTACGGTCTCTGTGGTAACCAGCCTTAGAGATGGCCCCCAATAGTCCTTGTCTCTTAATTGCCTCAGACTGAAGGAGACCCACTACTTGCACACACATTCCATTAGTGAGAATTAGTCCCATGAACACATCTAGAAGCATAGAGGATGGGAAATATAAAGAATCACATGGATATTTGTTGAACACTAACTGTGATCTGCCAATATGCTCATCATAAAAATTTAAGTAGGCTGGGCACAGTGGCTCATGCCTGTAATCCTAACACTTTTGAGGCTGAGGAGGGTGGATCACTTGAGGTCAGGAGTTTGAGATTCCTTGCCAGCATGGCAAAACCCCATCTCTAATTAAAAATACAAAAATTAACCGGGCATGGTGGCACGCACCTGTAGTCCCAGTCCCAGCTACTCGGGAGGCTGAGGCAGGAGAATCGCTTGAACCCAGGAGGCGGAGGTCACAGTGAGCTGAGATAGTGCCACTGTACTCCAGCCTGGGTAACAGAGTGCAAATCCATCTAAAAAAAAATGCAAGTACAAAACACAAGAAGTCGACAATAAAAGGGTTGCTTTATCTTCTACCTCTCATAAAAAAAAAAAAAAAAAAAAAAAAAACTACTGTTAACCTTTGGCTTATTCAGTCAATCAACACATCCTTATGTATCACCTTCAATGTGCCTTGCCCTGTCCTAGATGCTGGATATGGTTCTTAACCTCATGTGGCTTCCAGTGTGTGTGTGTGTGTGTGTGTGTGTCCCTTGGCTTATAACCTGCCTCTACCACACCTGGCTATGTGATTTCAGGCAAATTATTTAACTCCTGAGACTCCATTTCCTCATTTGTAAAATGCATAAAATAGAAAAATTAGCTGGGCATGGTGGCAGGTGCCTGTAATCCTAGCTACTTGGGAGGCAGGAGAATTGCTTAAACCTGGGAGTGTCTAACTTATAGGGTTGTTGTGGATATTAAATTGTATAGGTTAACAGAATGAACTGTCAACCTCTTAGATATACTTGAGTTTAGTTAAACAACCCTAAATATCTTCCCAGACCAGGCTTTAAAAATCTGATTTTCTGTTTTCTTTCTTCATAAGGCTTATTTTTCTCCTCTGCAGAATATGGCCTCATTTAAAATTTCTCCTCTTTCTATCCATGTTAAAGCACCACTCTTGAGAAGATACATGTGTTCCATTAAACACTTGAAAAGCACCCTTTTAATGTGTTCCCAGTGCTAGAACTTAATACTGCTATCTATAGAGTCTAAATTTATGATGTGAAAAATGTACCTTTGAATAGCAGTGATTTTAATATTAGACTGCCACAAATAAAATCTTTAAAGGGGAAAAATGTGTTATATATAAATTTTCAGTGCTGCAAAAGAAGTAGCACTTGAATATACATTTCCTCAGCAAGGCAATTTACTTCTATAGAAGGGTGCAGCTCACAGATGGAACAATGGTGAACGCACACCTGGACAAGGGAGAGGAAGCGGTTCTTATTCCTGCTGGAGGTAGCCCCTACTGCTATGTCGTTCCCCTATTGGCTAGGGTTAGACCACATAGTCTAGTCTAATCCCAACTGGCTATTTTAAATGAAGCAGGGTTATGAGCTGGAGTGGTGGAGTGGGTAGTTTGGTGGGAAGGACAGGTCAGAGCAGGTAGCCAGGGATGACCTAGGTCAAGGCAGGTGACTGGAGCAAGTGATCAGAGCAGGTGACCGGGACGAGTCAGAACAGAGCAGGGGAGCAGGGGAACAGATGTGAACTGCTGATTGGAA